TTGAATGAATTGAATAATTGAGATATATTGAATGCTTGAATGAAATGAAATGATATGCTATGGCTGCATACGTCGCCGGAGTGAATCTCCTCGACTCATAATTGTACATGGGGGACGCCCAACTCTCACTGGCCAACATTGGACTCTAGCCAGCATGGGCTTGGTCGGGCTCCTTGGTGAACCATGAGAATACGTAAGTTTGACCTATTGAGAGGCCTTGTTTGGCATACTCGAGCAGTATCGCTTCAAATAAATGACAGGCGGGCCCGGTGCAGGGGTATGTAATGGTAAAGGGGGGCATAATAAGTGTGGTTCTACGGACTATAACCTACCCGATTGACAGAGTATCAATTCATGGAGGTTCTTGATCGTACAAGTGGAAAATAACTCCTGAGAGCCCCTATATTCTTGAATTATTTCTGTTTACTTTTCTTGCTCGAATTGTCATTTACTTGAGTATTATTGTTTTACTCGTTAATTGGCATTGTTACTTGAACAATGTGCTTGCATGTGTGTTCTTGGCCTCACGAGCGATTGCTTGCCCTGTAGATTTGTTTTCCTTAACAGGATTGGACTTGGAGTAAGACTCGAAGAAACCCATGGGATGTACTTTTGTTTTAGGGTTTCAATGTATTTGACTAGACCTCTTGGTTGTGTATATTTTGGAACTGATGTATCTTTTGAGAACCCGATGTAAGGACTGGAGGTTGTTATATATTGTTAAGTTCGATCGTTTCCGCACTTTCTTACTTTACTTCGTAGTAATGACTAGTATTGTATTAAACTTGAATGCAAATTGTACCGAGTCCTGACGAGAGTAGGGCAGGCATCCCGCAGATACCCTTTGGTTCGCCTTAGGGAGAAGTGGGGGCGTCACAGTTGGTATCAGAGCGCTAGGCTGGAGATCTATTTGGGAGTTATACTAGAAATTTTACCCTTAAGATTTGAGATAGATGACTAAGTCATACTTTAAGTTATAGTTGGACAAGTTAGTGACTAAGTTAGTCATGCCTTAAGTGACATTCGTGCAAGCTAGTGATTAAGTTTCTAACCTGAAAAATGTGATTGTTTTGCAGGGATGGATAATGGAAACGGGAATCCGGCAGCTAATGGGAATGGCCATACTAATGGTCACATAGAGCCTCCTAGGCCTATTTACTACCGAGCTCTTGGTGAAGGGACTCGAGTGCTCTACTCGCCTTCTGATAGATACCCTCGTTATTCGTGTAGGTTGACTTTTGCCTACCCGAACCACCTTGTGCTAGCCTTGAATGACGAGCGTCGTCAGTTGGTGAACACCAACCTAGATTTACAGGTGGAGGTAGACGAACTGAGACAAATGGTTAGTGCTCAGGGAGAGAGGATTGGGGAGCTTGAGGAGGTTCTGGAGGGCGAGGTGGCTACTGCTGCTGTTATTCGTGAGGAACTCTAGAGGACTAGGGCTCAACTCACTAAATTAGGTGAGGATGTCCGTGATCGGGCTTTCGGGATCCTGGCTGATGCCACAGAGATGATAGATGGGTTGATGGATATTGTCCAGAGCTTAGATCAGGAGGAGGATCCTGAGGAGGAGATTTCCCCTAGTAGTCCTATTGTGGACTAGGTCTAGACTGATTGACCTTTTGACCATTTTGACTGGTACAGTTAGGATTAGTTGGGGTGATGCGAGTGCTAAGGCCATTGTATTTTGCATGACTGTGTGGCCTACTTTTGAGACACTTGATTTTGCTTTAGTCTTACATGACTGAAAGTACTCTTGTGGCACCTGTGTGCTATATTTTTGTGATTTCTCCCATGACTTGCCAATTGTATGGATCTTGACATACTAATGAATGTAAATTATTATATTTCTAATGTCTTCTTGACTAGTTCTTGTGTGACGGCCCCACCTCCCCCCAGGGCGTACCCCAGGGTTCGGCGGGTCGCCTGCCCAACTCTCACCGGGACTCACTCACTACAAACCTCAAACAAAATGTAATATAAATCTCAAATATACATCAAACTCTCCAATAATTACATATCACAAATGCAGTGGAAACTAATTCCCAACTATACATAAAATGATTCCAAATCCAAACTGTACAAGATATATGCCATCCAGTCATGTGAATAAGTACTACAAGCCTTTCCTTCGCCACGAGCCCTGTGGAGGGGAATAAAATAGTTTTGGGGTGAGTTAGAAGCTCAGTGAATAACCAATAAAATCCAGAAATCAAATAAGCTTTACAATCATTTATTTCAATGATGTCATGAATCGGTAATCAAATGTACGTTTATTGCTCCCATGAGCCAGTGAAATCATTGTACTTAAACACCCAACGCTCAAAAAGATCTTTTATCGCTAACGTTAACCAGTAAGAGGGAGCAACGTTGGTGCTCCAGATCATGTCACGAACTCACGAAAGTGGTGGAGACGTTGGCTCCAGGTAAATAGTAGAGGAGACGTTGGTGTTCAGGACAAGACTCCCCAAGAACTCATTTAAGCCAAATCATTTCATGGACTCACATGCCGGCACACACATGATATGCAAACGAGTAAATAATGCAAGAAACACTTCGTAAGTAACTTTGGAAATAGTTTAGGGTCACTCACCTCCACGGCTCAGAAACCATCCATCATATATCATTACCTTGCCCGAGTCCAAGCTCTAAATCACAAACTCAAAGCGATCATACATTCTCAAAGTTCGGACAGCATTTCCTCATAAATGCTTCATTTCCAACATACAATATTTTACCAATCACACATACGATTAATAAGCAATAAAATATATCCAATTAGGCCAAAATATCCCTCAATCAAAGCTAATTAGAAGCTTAAGAGCCACCATTAGAAAAACCCCTAATTAAACCCTAGAAACCGGAATTCATTCCCTCAAGCGTAAATTTGGGCAGCATGCCCTTTGTATTTTTGCTATTTCCAGCCATTTTGGCTTCATTATTTTTCTCATTCAAACCCAAAGATGCACACACAACAATCTAACTTCAATAGCCGTCCAATAGGCTCAAGACAACACAAGGACAAAATTCAAGTTAAGAACAAGTGCAGAAATGAGCCTTAGCAAAAGACAGATTTGATAGGGTTTTGTGGAAAGGATACATTCGAGGCTACGCTTATCGGATCAAAGTGCAACTTATACCGTTTCGAAGCTAAGACATAGGGCTACAATGTTCATGAAGATCACTTAGTCCAATTTCCAGTGTAACCCAGGAAATTTCCCACTTTACAGAACCAGAATCCAACTAGTCGGCTAATCAACCATACTACATTGAAATGGTCATATCTCAGGCTACCAAAGTCCGTTGAGGGCGTTCTTGGAGGTGTTGAAAAGCTAAGTCAGGTTACTAAAAATTTCATGTTTTCAAAAATGGCTAAATCAGCACGGATCATAATGAATAAACACGGTTAACTGGATGAACTGTCCAAAACGGAGCACTGGAAACATCCTAGGGCAGTGAGGGTATTTTAGTCTTTTCATAGGCTACGTTGCTCCGATTGAGTTGAAATTTTGTAGGAAACCATTAAATGTCATTCTATACAACTTTCATGTTTTATTCTAAGCCTAATTCGGCCTCTAACATGATGCAATAAAACCGGACAGAACAATGCTGAAATTTTCCAGAAATCTGGAATTTTTTATTTCAATGATAACTTTCTTCATTTCTTGCCTCAATCCACCACTACAACCTCCTATATAAGTTTAGATACAACACATCTCATCCATATAGCAAGTATAGGTAGAAATCATCAAACCCTAACTTACATATATCACCTTAAAAAAATCATCACAACAACTTGTATCACAACTAATCTAACCAAAACATGAATTATATATCATCTTAATCAAAAATAAAAGAATCACAGCTGTGGGTTAGACCTTATACCTCAACAAAAGAAGCTTGTAAGAGTAATACTTCACCTCCTCTTGAAATTTCTGGTTCCCTTAGCTTCCCAAGCTTTCAACTCACACTTTAATCGGTTTAGAATTTTAATTCCTCACTTGGATGGCTCAACTCAAGAAGAAGGAAGTTGATTTCTTGCTCTCTTTCTCTCCTCTCTTGTCTCAGCCAAGCAGCAGAAAAATGAAGAAGAAAGGCTACTCCAAGGTGTTAAGAAGGCAAGAAAAATAAATCAACCAAAGAGCCATAGGGTGGTGACACTTGTCACCACCAAAGCCAACCAAAATTTCTCTTTCTTTCCTTGCATTTTTTGCCTTACAATTTCGGTCAAAGCTAGCTGGAAATAAGGAGATATTTTACTCAAGTATTAATGAGCTCATGTGGTAAAAAAGTGGCGGTCAAGTGGTGCGGTCAATCGGTAGTGATCGATACTCGTCGGTTTGCACCGTTTTTCCTTAAATCACACATATTAGGGTTTTTACTTCCTATTCACTAACTTTATGTCATTGCTTCTAATCACATATTATTTCTCACCCAAAAGTCACTCTTAAGCACCAAATTTGATCCTTACTTCGTACCGAATAATTACACTACGGATACACGTGAAAACCCTAACTTGCTCCAACTTGAAAACGAAAAGTGAAACCCTACTTTTTAGGTTCATTTGCACCTATTGAGGAATGATTGGGTAGTAGAGCCATAGTAAATGAATAATTTTCAAATAAAAGACAAAACGTGAGGAATTTTACAATTCCAGTGAAAAAATTAGGGTTTCAATTAAAATATGAGGGATTTAAGAAACCTGTTGGTCACAAGTAAATTAGGGTTTCAATCAAGTAAACTAGGTTTTTTTTTTTTTAGAATTTAGGGTTTAAAGAAGTCGGGGTATCACATCTTGCTTTCGATATTTTCCCCGGATAATTGATTTATCTCTTGCACTAGGCATGCCTAGGATAATGGAATGACGAAGGAGTGGTCGAGGCTGTGGGCGAGGGACTAGACAGGCCCAACCTCATGGAGATGACCAGGGATCGGCAACTGGACCGACCCAGGGACAAGAAAATATTAAGGGTAATCAAGTGGCTACTGCCATTAATAGGATGACTGATATCCTAGAGCGTTTGGCTGATAGACAAGGTCCTGGACCACTTAATCAACCTGGGGGACAGGATAGAGGAGAGGATAGAGCCTTAGAAAGGTTTTTGAAGTTTAATCCGCCTAAGTTTATTGGTGAACCCGATCCTGAGATAGCGGAGAATTGGTTGGAGAGAATGACCAATATATTCGCCGTCTTAGACTATACCGAGGATAGACGAGTGAATTTTACTGCCTTCCAATTTGAGGAAGTGGCTCTTACTTGGTGGGACATGATAAAAGGAAAATGGGAGAGAGTTCAAACCCCTTGGACTTGGGAAAATTTTACTAGGGAATTCAATGAAAAATTTCTTCCTTCTTTAATTCAAGAAAAGAGGGAGGATGAATTTATCAAATTGAAACAAGAGACCCTTAGTGTAGCAGAGTACGAAGGAAAATTTACTAAACTTTCTAAATAGGCCCATGAATTGGTGACCAATGAGCGGAAAAGGATAAAGCAGTTTGTACAGGGTTTAATGTGGAAATCCAGGAAGACTTGGCCGCAGCCCAAATCTCTACATTTACTGAGGCTTTAGAGAAAGTGCAAAGGGTTGAGAGTGCGAGAATGCAAGTTAAGAACTTTCATAATAGGAAGAGAAACTTTTCTAGTCGTACTTCTGGACAGATTAGTAAGAGTTCACAACCTTCCAAAATTGGAAGAGGAATGGGAGGAATAAGGACTGCTGCAGCTTCTAGGGGAGCTTTATCCAGAAGAGGTCGTAGTGGGCCGTTTTAAGTTAAGGGAGTGCCTTCTAGTGGTTCGGCAGTGACCCCTCAAGTTACTTGTGGATACTGTGGTAAACCCAACCATTCTGAGAATGACTATTGGAGGAAGTCTGGAAAATGTCTATTTTGTGGTAGCGCTGAACACCAAGTCGCGAGACCAGTGCTGGAGGATCAGCAAATAGGAGGTAATATCAAAAGCCAAAAAAATCAACCTCTAACCAGACCAGTGCTGGAGGAAGCCGACCAAAGGTACCGACTAGGGTTTATGCATTGGACCATCAGCAAATACCCGATGCAACTGAGGTGGTTGAAAGTACGATTCCTATCTTTCACCGATTAGCTAGGCTTTTAATTGATATGGGTGCGACACATTCCTTTGTAACCCCTAATTTCATGGACGGAATAGATTTGAAGTCAATTAAATTACCTTATGACTTGGAGGTTAGAACGCCTACTGGGAATCAAAGTGTAATAGCTAACTTGGTGTATAGGGATTGTGAGATATGGATTAGAGAACGGAAATTAATGGCCGATCTGATAGATTTAGCGATTAAGAGGTATGATGTGATTCTAGAAATGGACTGGTTAGCCCGTTACAATATCCAGTTGAACTGTAAGACGAAGATAGTAGAATTGTGCATTCCGGGAGAGGCAACCTTTAAACTGGATGTAAGGGGTAGATTAGCCTCATTTGCACTTATCTCAGGGATCCGAGTTAGGAAAATGTTAAGTAAGGGAGTTCAGGGATATTTGGCTTTTTTAATCAACACTTCTAGTAATAAAGTGAGATTGGAGGATATGCCTATAGTGAAAGAGTTCCCAGATGTTTTTCCTGCAGAATTGGAGTCTTTACCCCCAAAAAGAGAAATAGCTTTTAAGATTGACGTGCTCCAGGAGTAGCACCTATCTCTAAAACGCCATATAGGATGGCTCCAACTGAGTTGAAAGAATTGAAGTTACAATTGAAGGACTTGTTGGAACGGGATTTTATAAAAAAGAGTTGGGAGCCCAGTCTTATTTGTTAAGAAGAAAGATGGGAGTTTAAAATTGTGCATAGATTACCGAGGTTTGAATGATGTCACCGTTATGAATAAGTACCCGTTGCCCCACATTGATGAATTGTTTGACCAATTGCAAGGGGCGGTAGTATTCTCCAAGTTACATTTGAGATAGAGTTATTATCAATTGAGGATTTTGGAGAAAAATATATCCAAGACTGCTTTTAACTCGAGGTATGGGCATTTTGAGTTTGTTGTAATGCCATTTGGGTTAACGAATGCACCTGCTGCTTTTATGGATTTGATGCATAGAGTCTTTAAGTCTTATCTGGATCATTTTGTGGTGGTCTTTATTGATGATATTTTGGTGTACTCTAAGAATGTGAAGGATCATGAGAAGCACCTGATGTGACGGCCCCACCTCCCCCTAAGGCGAACCAGAGGGTTCGGCGGACCGCCTGCCCAGCTCTCGCCGGGACTCAGTCGCTCACTACAGTCCTCAACCCAATTACAATATAAATCTCAAAATTACATCAAATTCTCCAATGATTACATATTACAAATGCAGCGGAAACTGATTCCAATCGTGGAACGTATACTTACATCCATATCAATTTCAAATATTTATACAAGACCAACTCGTACATAAAATAGATCCAAACTTAAACTATACACGATATAAGCCATCCAGTCACGTGAATAAGCACTCCAAGCTTTTCTTCGCCTTGAGCCCTGTGGGGGGGGGAAATAAAACATTTTTGGGGTGAGCTAGAAGCTCAGCGAGTAACCATTAAAATCAGTAATCAGTTCAGTTTCACAGTCGTTCATTTCAGTGATGTCATGATTTCAAGATCAAATGTACATTTATTGCTCTCGTGAGCCAGCGAAATCGTTGTACTTAAACACCCAACGCTCCAAACAAACATTAAACAGTAAACAGTCAGTGGGGGAGCCATTTGCTCCAGATGAACAGTACACAGAGGTGGAGACGTTGGTGTTCAGCACACGAATTCCAAGCACTCATTTAAGCCAAAACATGTCATGGGCCACATGCAAGCACTCATGATATGCAATCAAGTAAATAGTGCAAGAAACGGTTCATAAGAAGCTTTAACAATAGTTTGGGGTCACTCACCTCCACGGCTCAGAAACCATCCATCATATAACATTGCCTTGCTCAAATCCAAGCCTTAGATCACAAACCCAATGCAAACAAGTCCCTTCAAAGTTCGGACAACACTTCCCCGACATGTGCTAACTTTTCCACCCATCATGGCTTCATTATTACTTTAGCCAGTCCCAAAGTCACACAAATAAGTTCATCTAATATCCATTCAGCAAGCTCCAAGTAGTACAAAGACAAGTCAAGCTAGGGAAAAGTCCGGAAATGAAAGTTAAGCTCAAAACCAGAAAAACAGTTTTGACGTCATTTTACGGTAATGGTACCAAAGGCGCTACGATTGTCGGATGAAGGTGAAAGACCCACCGTTTCGAAGCTAAGAGTCAGGGCTACAATATTGCAGAAGGTCACTCAACCCAGTTTCGAGTGCAAACAGGTCAAAAAGGCAAGATACCACATCAAAAACGTAAAACAGATCCACCAAAACGCATTCTAGCGGAAACATCATAACTCAGGCTCTACAAGTCCAAATCCAGAAATTCCAAAGTCATATGGTAGCTAATACATCAAGCTACATTTGATCAGAAGACCTCAAAGGCCAAATCGTGCATTTTCATGATCGAAAATGGAAGACAACACGAAAACAAAAATCTGGGCGCGAAACAGGTTTCAAAAACAGTCAAGGGTATTTCGGTCATTTCACATGATACGGTGGTCGGATCAAGCTGAAAATTTACAGGAAACTATTTTATAGCCTTGGCTACAACTTTCATGTTTTGGCCAAAATCTAATTCGGTGAGAATCAGGGTGTAAGGTCACGGTCAAATTGAGTGAAAAGGCAACCCTGTTCGCAGCACCCCTTCCCAGACCAGTCTCAGTATTTCTGACATTTCTCACTCCACACTACTCCAATTGACCTGAAATTTTACAGGAACCTTTAAAACATCAATACCTACAACTTTCATGTTTTAAGCCAAGGCCAATTCGGCCTATAACCATGAGATACAAAACCGGACAGAATTGGGGATATAAAACCCTAACTTTCTCAAATTCCTTCCAAACCCAAAATTAGTTGCAATTACCAATCATTTACACCTACTAGAGTTATTAAACATCATTTCCAACCATCATGGACAGCCACAACATCAAGATCAAATTAAACCAGAAAAATCATCAATAAATCAAAAACTTCACCAATTCATCTCAAACCAAGAAATAAACCACAAATTTCAGCACTTTAGCTCCCACTAGGCATAACTTAAGCTTCATTAAGTGTAGGAGGAAGTTCAATCACCACTCACCTTAACAATAGAAGAGAGAGAACAACTAGGCACCTTAACCTTCCAAATAACTCCACCAAGAGCTCCAATCTTCCTTAGCTAGCAAGTTTTATGGAGTGATTTGCAATTTAATCGGTTGGAACTCAAGATTTGAGCAAGAATTGACGTTGAAGTTGAAGAAACTCTCTCTTGTTCTTTCCTCACCAAAAATTTCGGCCAAGACAATAAAAATGGAAGAAATTGGGTCAAAATTTGGTTTAGTAAAGGTTAAGACAAGTCCAAGTCAAAGTCAAGGTCCAATGTTTCAAGGACAAATGGCATCCAAGGGTTAATCCTCATCTTGTGTGTCTTCCAATGGTTAATCCTTCTAGATAACCTCTAATCATTTCTTAATACCTTGTAAAATAATAACACTTAGCACACAATTCACTTAGTCACCAAAATTATATCACACTAGCGGGTCCCACGTTCAAAATAAGCTTTTAATTTCTCAAAAACTAACCGATACTAGAAAAATCATTTTAAAACTATTTTTGCTCATAAACTTTATCCGGGAAATTTTTCTAATCAAGAAAATGTAGAAAAGGCGGGCGTTAAAAAAAATAAACCCTAGAAAATTAGAAAATTTCTGGGTTCTCAAACTCATTTTTTTCGGAGTGTCACAATCTCCCCTCCTTAAAAGAATGTCATCCTCGACATTCCATCTTGTACCAATCAAGTCAAGACATCCCGCAAAAATCTCTCAAGAGTCAAATCAAACCCACAGTCCGGCATCCTAAACTTCAAGCCTAGGATACACTACAGAGATCTGAAGCCTAAGCTCTGATACCAACTGTGACGGCCCCACCTCCCCCTAAGGCGAACCAGAGGGTTCGGCGGACCGCCTGCCCAGCTCTCGCCGGGACTCAATCGCTCACTACAGTCCTCAACCCAATTACAATATAAATCTCAAAATTACATCAAATTCTCCAATGATTACATATTACAAATGCAGCGGAAACTGATTCCAATCGTGGAACGTATACTTACATCCATATCAATTGCAAATATTTATACAAGACCAACTCATACATAAAATAGATCCAAACTTAAACTGTACACGATATAAGCCATCCAGTCCCGTGAATAAGCACTCCAAGCTTTTCTTCGCCTTGAGCCCTGTGGAGGGGAATAAAATAGTTTTTGGGGTGAGCTAAAAGCTCAGCGAGTAACCAATAAAATCAGTAATCAATTCAGTTTCACAGTCGTTCATTTCAGTGATGTCATGATTTCAAGATCAAATGTACATTTATTGCTCTCGGAGCCAGCGAAATCGTTGTACTTAAACACCCAACGCTCCAAACAAACATTAAACAGTAAACAGTCAGTGGGGGAGCCATTTGCTCCAGATGAACAGTACACAGAGGTGGAGACGTTGGTGTTCAGCACACAAATTCCAAGCACTCATTTAAGCCAAAACATGTCATGGGTCACATGCAAGCACTCATGATATGCAATCAAGTAAATAGTGCAAGAAACGGTTCATAAGAAGCTTTAACAATAGTTTGGGGTCACTCACCTCCACGGCTCAGAAACCATCCATCATATAACATTGCCTTGCTCAAATCCAAGCCTTAGATCACAAACCCAATGCAAACAAGTCCCTTCAAAGTTCGGACAGCACTTCCCCTACATTTGCTAACTTTTCCAGCCATCATGGCTTCATTATTACTTTAACCAGTCCCAAAGTCACACAAATAAGTTCATCTAATATCCATTCAGCAAGCTCCAAGTAGTACAAAGACAAGTCAAGCTAGGGAAAAGTCCGGAAATGAAAGTTAAGCTCAAAACCAGAAAAACAGTTTTGACGTCATTTTGCGGTAATGGTACCAAAGGCGTTACGATTGTCGGATGATGGTGAAAGACCCACCGTTTCGAAGCTAAGAGTCAGGGCTACAATATTGCAGAAGGTCACTCAACCCAGTTTCGAGTGCAAACAGGTCAAAAAGGCAAGATACCACATCAAAAACGTAAAACAGATCCACCAAAACGCATTCTAGCGGAAACATCATAACTCAGGCTCTACAAGTCCAAATCCAGAAATTCCAAAGTCATATGGTAGCTAATACATCAAGCTACATTTCATCAGAAGACCTCAAAGGCCAAATCGTGCATTTTCATGATCGAAAATGGAAGACTACACGAAAACAAAAATCTGGGCACGAAACAGGTTTCAAAAACAGTCAAGGGTATTTCGGTCATTTCACATGCTACATTAGTCGGATCAAGCTGAAAATTTACAGGAAACTATTTTATAGCCTTGGCTACAACTTTCATGTTTTGGTCAAAATCTAATTCGGTGAGAATCAGGGTGAAAGGTCACGGTCAAATTGAGTGAAAAGGCAACCCTGTTCGCAGCACCCCTTCCCAGACCAGTCTCAGTATTTCCGACATTTCTCACTCCACACTACTCCAATTGACCTGAAATTTTACAGGCACCTTTAAAACATCAATACCTACAAC